CTGCCACAGGGACCGACATAACCACACAGTGTTTCCACCATCCGAAGCTCAAATTGAGATCCTAAACCCCAGATCTTGAATTTGGATTTTCAGAGCATTCTACTGAACAGAGCAAGAAAATATCATTAGTGAAGAAAGAGAACAACCACTGTAATGGCAAAGCATTTCCATTTTGTACATCCACATGAACATAATAGACTGTAAAATGACTTGTACTTACATGTTGTAAACACGTACATTATTAAAACCAACGTGTTCATTATTAAACTCTCTGTATTATTTACACTTCTTTTACAATCAGCTTGTTTGTATCTTTAGAAATTAAGAACGCCTTCTGGAGCTCTCCAGGGAAGTGTGGTGTGCCCCAAAGCTATTCAGAAATACAGCATTCATAGCAGAGACACCTTATCGCCTTTAATGACTAAGTCCTCCACTTCCCATTGGTAACTGGTAAAAGCAGAAATGGTGATAGATGAAGTACTGCTGTCCCAAAACCAGGACACCGGGTCAGGGCTGGTATTTAGACATTTGAGATGAACAGGTGTCACCACTGGCTCTTGCAGCTGTGTCCTCCTCTGAACATGTCTTCCTGCTTGGGCTGGGGTTGAAGCATCAGATGCAAGTGGATTAGCAGGAACACAAAAGGGGACTGATAACTTTCCAGCTTCCTTCAAAGTTAAGGACTGTGATGAGTATTTTGAAGTTGTTAGCATTTGAAAGATCCCATGCACATCTCAACCAAAGGCAAGGGAGTGGGAATCTGTAGGACAGTTTTTCAGAGGGATGTAAGAAGGAATGACATTATATTCATTAGACATTTTATGCATAAAACTCCATAGGAGTCACAGCCCTGCAAAACTTCCTTGGCACTGGCCTTGCTGCTTGCAGATTCTTTACAATTAACTTCATGTGGGAAAATAATCTATTTTATTTATTTTGTGATTTGCAGAACTTTTACAGCGACAGTACTGTAACTTCTAACTGCAAATCAGCTTCTCCCTGACCTGATTTCTGCCTCAGTAATCACACAGAGACCCTAATGATGCTTTGAATGTGTGATAAAAGGTGCTTATCACTCACAAAACTGTACATTCATCATGTTTTCCTGATGACAGACTCAGACTCACACAACAAATCATCACCTTCAACAACTAGGGACTCAGAGCAGCAACCAGATTCCAAAAATAGATGCTTCCTGTGCTAAGACACTTCTTACCTGGGAGCCTTTAACAGAGACAAGCACTCATCTAGCATTCATCTCACGGTGGCTTTTAAAGCAAATCACAATTTCCAAACAAATTTCACAGTTTATTCAGAGTGAAAGAATTGTGCCTTAGTGATGAGTTTCTGGGCAGAGTAATAGGGTGACAATTTTTCCTATAAATAAATATTCTTGAACTACCAGTACTGTTAAGCAAAAACTATTTTAAGATGCCTTTCGGAGATGTTTGGGGCAGCCTAAAGAACTGATCTGTTTCTCTGAGGGTGTTTGAGATCTTGGTATGTGATGGGTATTTCACTTTCATTTGTTTTATGCATCTGCTAATGGGATAGTAGTATTTTGGGACATCCTTTGGAGATCATAAAGATTTGAATACTTTGGAAGCATTCTTTTTATGTTCATCTGTTTGATTCATCTTGCAATGTGCAAAATCTTTTAATAAGTCATCAAGCTCATTAAAAGGGGAAAAGTAAAGGACTCCAAGCCAGTTACATCTTGTGAAAGTCGGTAGTTCAAAATCTAGTGTTAAAGAAAAGTACTGAAAGCAAAAAGTGCTGAAAGTTTCCAATTGTGACATACTGGTTCTTTCTTTCCTGTTTGCTATGGGCTACCTGGCGCTGTTAGTACTGTCAGATGGACGCTTCATATGGCCGGTATGAGGAGATGTGGAGATGACACAGCCTGGTGGGCAGATCCATGTTCACTCCCTGCTGCAGCGTAGAGGACAAATGCTATTCCCAACTCTGCGTCAGACTGCCTCTACGCCACCGCTGTCAGAGGTCGATGTGATTTGAATATGATGTGTCCTTTCACCTGGTCTTGCCCTCTCCTGCAGTGTCTCCCACCCTTCTCCCCACTTTGTTCACAAGCAGAATGTGAAATGATGTGTTTGCGATGGCTGGCACTGATCTAAGCAGATGTCTCTCCGGATTTTAATGCAACGAGTTCAGAGTCCTCTATGTATCTTCCATTTAACTGTTCATTGTTGGAATCATGATGGTACAGGTAAACGGGGACCTCTGTGATAGAGGTTGCAGTGTAGGAGGTAGATCGCGTGGAACAGTGCTCTCGGCGCCTTTGGCCCCACTGGGTTTTGTACTGTGTCCATTGCCGCTTCAAAGCGCCTTGTACCTGGGAAAGAAACACAGAGTTAGGGTGAGGCATGATCTAAACCCCAATAATTGTAGACATTTTAAAATGGAAAGGAAAGGAAAGGAAAGGAAAGGAAAGGAAAGGAAAGGAAAGGAAAGGAAAGGAAAGGAAAGGAAAGGAAAGGAAAGGAAAGGAAAGGAAAGGAAAGGAAAGGAAAGGAAAGGAAAGGAAAGGAAAGGAAAGGAAAAAAAGAAAGGGAAAGAAACAAAGAGGAAAGAAAAGGAAAGGAAAGGAAAGGAAAGGAAAGGAAAGGAAAGGAAAGGAAAGGAAAGGAAAGGAAAGGAAAGGAAAGGAAAGGAAAGGAAAGGAAAGGAAAGCTAAGCTCCAGGTCTAATTCCACCAGGTTTGGTCTGCCTCTCTCCTCTCCTCTGCTCCCAGCTCCAGAAGCAGAAGCAGTTACTCATCGCGGCATTAATTTCTTCCCTGCCTACCCTATGGCAGCAATTAGAGTTTCTGCAGTTGTTGCTGCTTATGAAGAGAGAGTATAGGTTAGCTGTTCCCATAAGAGGGAAATGTGGACCAGATTGCTGCATGGGAACACAGTAGGGTGCTATGGTAGAAGAGGGAAGAGGAAGGAGGGATGGGAATTAAAATCCATCTGATGCTGCAGCTGGATCTTTGCCCCTGGAATGGCCAATGCATTGTGATCCCTGAAGAAACTGAACCTTGAGTAAAATTGGCCATGAATGGCAAAGTGTAAGTACACTTCGAGAGCTTGCCAGGACTGATTTTGCAGAGAGAAAGAGTTGGAGGATTAGTACAGCTAAACAGAGATTTTGTTTTGATAATTTAAGGACAGGTTCTCTGCTGGCAAAAAACCAGTATTGGTTATAGCCCTCTGTGTAGCAGAGAATTTCAACCTTTGGACATTCATCTTCTAGGAATAAAATATTTTATTCAACATTCACAGTAAGAGTGATGTTATATATGGCACTAGGATATGACTTAAACTATTGAGTCCTGCAGGGAATAAGAAGCCCTTCTCCAGGTTCATGTTGAGGCATCCCGGCACTTGCTAGCTCCTTCCCAAAGGAAGCGTTGAGACATGAGCAGGGTGTGGGCAAACCCTGGCTCTGTTAATTTGGATCAGTGACTCCAGACAGCAAGATGTGAGAATAGGAGCAGTTTGACATAATAATCAGCTGTAAATAACCACCCCTCCAGAGGAAGGCAGGCTCAGGTGAGGAACTGCGATCACAGGAGTGTCCCCGAGTTTCCGTGCTCCTGCTGAGGTGGACGCTGTTCGTCTTTTTTTTTACTCAGGGAGTAGTCTGAAGTCACGCTCCAGGCTCTGTGCAGAACAATATCTTTGATTCATGTAGATAAATCTGAATGACTTCAACATTTCCCAAGTCTACACAATTCTAATCACTCTATTAATATGTATATAGTAAAATGTTATCTATTCACTACCCACAGCTGCCTGCAAGAAAGCTATTTCATGTCACATAAGGATAAGGCTTCATAAGGAATTGCTATGAATCTGAGATGCTTACTGAGCATACAGCAGGACTATGCAGCTTGCCAAGAATGGATATATTTCAATTGCTTTAGCTTTTTATTTTTAATCCAAGACGCAAGCCAAGGTATGAGGAGTGATGCTATAAATCCTTACTCATGCGAGCAGTTGCACTGACTTTGGTATGAGTAAACAAACGTTTGCTGGACTAGTTCTTTAAAATTAACTTTAATGAAAATTAAAATTAATGAAAATGACATCCATGTCCAGTTTCCAATACTAGTTCTTTTTTGCTACTGTTTAGCTCAAGACAAAGTAGTTAAGAGTTCTTCTCATTTGGAGAACTGTATTGCTATTCACCTTCTCCTAACACATAAAGAAAAGAAAACAAATGGCTGAGTGTAGGTTAATTAGATATCAAGCATGGAAAAGGCATATGGTTACACGGAACTTTAATTACTGGGGCTGTGAGCAAAGCTTACTATGCCAATATTGAGATTTAAAGTGAAATGGCTACATGCAGGGATGTTTCATATCACACCATCACCAAAGTCTATTAGTGAGGAATAATTACTGCGTGAAAGAATAACGCAGCTGTAGCACATGATACAGAAATACTACACATGAAGTAAAGATTTTAGTCACTTTAGAATTTCCTTTTGATGTCACAGTATGAATATTGTAGCTTAGTCACCCTAGAAGCTATGAGGAGGGACTAGAAGAAGAAATCTTCAGGACTAAGTTAGTGACTTTCCCCAATGTCACACTGGGGCAGTGGTTCCTGTAACCTACGGCTGGACACAATGAGGATAATGCAAAAATCTTGGCTGTGCACAGCAGCTCTGCCTGCCTGCAGCCATCTCTCCACCACCACCACCGTGGTCGTTAGCACCTCTAGCCACTGCGCACCTCTGGCCATCCCCTCTGCCCCTCAGCACTGTGTTTGCATTTCACAGCAGTTCATCCATTCAGATTAATCTCAGCACTTCAGTGGAGGTGGCAAGAACATGCTCTTACACCCTTCCTGTTCCTCTCCTAGCTCCCTGCCCCTGCATAGACCCCAAGGCGTTGATCGCTCTTGCGTGGGGAGAAGAGATCCTGTGAAGTTGATGAGCTCCTGCTGAGCTCTCAAACTGTTCTCAGTTCAACCAGAGCCTGATGGGCCACCAGGGCAACCACAGGTCTGGAGATGATAACACGGTTAACTGAAGAGGGAAGAACAATGTCACTGAGTCTTACAAAGCCTGCCGTGAGGAGCTTATAGTTTTCTTCTCAGAAGGGAGTGACACTTAAATTGTATGTATGGTCAGGGAGAGAACAGGCACGTCCCTTCCAGTTCAGCCCATGATTAGAAGTGCCATTAGTCAGGTTGAAAAGGCTCCACAGAGCACTGAGAGCACGAGGTCAAAGCAGCTGTGTTTTTATTCTCCACTGAACTGCTGGCCTGTACCGGAACCCGGCCACAAACGGATAATGGATAGCATAAGCTGCGGCACTTGAGTAAAACAATGTGTTAATCTAGATTTCTGACATATTCCAAGGATCTCAGATGACCATAATTCAGTGCCAACTAAAACCATTCATGCATAGATTTTAAATGTGTAAGCAGCATTACTGAAAATCACATGCACAGCCACAACATATTAACGACCAAGGAGGCTCCTGGGGACCGGGACAGGCAGGGCAATGCCTGCTGTGCTTTCCACTGAAAGAAAGTAAAGTCTAAAGAAATGAAGAGCTTGAGTTTATTTACTCTGCTCTTCAGGACCTAAAAGGTTTTTCTGTTGCCTATTATCCATTCATGCCTCTTTGGCACACAAGATATACGGTTGGTTTTCTTCCAAACAGACTTTCCATTTTGTTGGCCAGCCTTACAGTCTAGAAGCAATCTCAGGCCTGGAAATATGGTCTGGTGAGCAGACTATTGCAGAGACCTTGTATCATCTGCACAACACTGTTGCTGTTGGACAGAGAAGCTACAGTACTGCTGGACACTGAGATTTTATATGAAAATGCAAAAGAAGACCTGTCATTTTAAAAGTCCGAAACCAACCCATTGTTTATGTGTTCTTCCACATGAATGCAGGCATCGGTACAGCTTCTTTACATTTCCTTCTATAGATGGGCTCATGGTACTAAAGTGAGGTTGGCGAGGTAGTAGGCGATAAATGCAATATAAAACACTGTCAGGTGGTACTGAGTTTACTATTGTTTGTCCTGGCTAAACTTCATGTATTGAAGTTAAATATTCCAGTAGGAAAAAGTAAATCCCAGATTATCCAGGCTCCTGTGGTACTAAAATTAATTTCCTTGCCCCACACTGAATTTTCTCATGAAAAATATTTTGAGCTCTATGGCAGCAGATGTATACAGTGGCTTGGAAACAATCTCCTACCATGACTGAAGACCAGACTGTGGCTTTGGTCTATGTCATACTGCACACAGCAGGACTGGGGGAAATTATCTCAGCTTAGTTCTCTTGGACAGCCAAACTCAGGCCAGCACTCCCTTTGGAAGGACCCAGTGTCACCTTGGCATTAGTCTGTCGCTGCTCCTCTATAAGTTTTGTGCCTTATATATCTACACCTTGTGTAACTGCAGGAATAAATGGGACTTGGAGGAATGGGTTCATAATCCTTTCGTCCTATTTTCTGGCACAGTCCAGCACAGCTCCTCTAGTACATAAACTTGCTTGACGTTTATTGGTAATGTGCTGATGTAAGTAGCACCAAACTGTCTTGAGTCTGTACTAGAGAGGTGTCATCTTTGACTCCCTGCCCACCTTAATGGGAAATTCTAAAAAAAAAAAGGCTTCCTTTATTGTCTATTAAATAAAATTTCCCATAAGAAAATAATGAGAGGGTTTCTCAGCATCCCTGCCATTGACCATATTAGACAGTCTGCAAGTCTGAAGCAGATACGATTTTGAAAATGGGTGTACTGGTGAAAAGTACCCAAGCACCAACAAAAATCACTCTCAATATGTCTGGGAAACCTGAATCCCCACAGCGTTTTGTTCTTACTGTCTGAGACTGATCAACATTTCTGATCAGCCACTCCACCAAGGAGTCATTAATCCCGCATGAAGTCCGGAGCTACCCAGAGGTAGTTAAGTCATCCATGTGATTACTTACGGGAGCAATAGAGTACAAAACTGGAAGCCACATTTCAGTATCAGATTCATTTTTATCTCCTTTTGGGCATCGTCCTTTCCAGATGTGTCCCCTCAGTGATGGCAAGTTGACAATTCAAGTATCAAAAGTGGATATCCAGATGAGAGCCTTTCACAAGGAAGAGGTCCTTTTACTGTGGGCTGCCAGATGTGTCAAAAATGCTGTCAGAGGTGAACAGGGGTTTGGTGACTATTGCTGTCAGGATTTGGATCTAGGGCGTGCATCTTCAGTCCATGTAAGGAATGACTGGCTGCTATTGATGCTTCCTAACAGCAGTCCAGTCAATGCAGAAGTCCACAAAGCACAGCATGTCTCTGAGGTCAGACGTCTCAATATCATGTATGAATATGGTGTATTTTTTTAATCCAAATATATTTATTCTGAATTCTAAATTAAATGTAATATAATACTTAATGAACAAAAAAGAGCTGTGTATTTATTTTAGGCTCATTTTCATTCCTGGAATGTGGCTTTTAGTTTTCTGCCTTGCACACTACAGGTAGTTCATATGGCAGGTAAACTCATTCATACCCTGCCATCTAATTTTGAATTAAATGATGCATATGGTCTGCCATGATATATTCATTATTGTGTAACTTGAAACTTGTATTCCTGGAGTTGTAAAGATGGATATACTTCTCTGGTACTGTGGCATTGCCAAAAGTACTTTGGCATTAGATCTATCTGATGACACACACCTAAGGAACAAACAGCCTTTAAGATAATTCATGTTTTGCAGTGCATTTTCTTGCTGCCTTTCCTCATTTTTAGCATTGCTACAGCCTTTAATCTATGCACAAATCCGTATGTTCTCATTAGAGTTGGAGAATTACAGAGTAATCGACCTTTTACACTAAAGCTATAAAACATTAAGCAAATTTGTTTTGCAAAAGCTAATCTGAAAAACATGGAAGGTGACACTGGTGAGAATGAAGAAGGAAGAAGGCAATGTTCAAGACCAGGATTTTGGGGTAATGCATTGTTTGGAGGCAAACGAGGACACACTGGAGCACTGCCTGTACCTAGCTACGCAGTCATTCCTACGGAGAGAGGATGTTTCAAAAATTGCCTGGCTGGTCTCTGCTTTCTCCACGCCAGGTCCTTCCTACCAGGGAGAATCAGAAGTCTTTCTATGTTTCCGGGGCATGGAGATTGGACTGTGCCAATAAGTGATGATAGTAAGGAACAAGGAGAAAGGTGGTAGTAGCCTGTAGATCTGGGAGACAAGAAATGTGATAGGGAAAAAAAAAAAAAAGACTTGTACATCCCTCCAACTTTGTTTAAGTGGACCCATAAAACCATGACCTTCTGTAGTGTGATCTTTACAGCTATAATTTCATGTTAGATTCTGGTGTCATTAACTGCTCAAGTTTTGCCATTCTCCTTTATGACTCCTAAAAGGCCATGCTACAGAATTACAGTGGGAGACCTCTAATCTTTTTTACTGTTGCATTTCTCTGTACATTTATGCAGTAAGCCAGCCGGAAGCAAATGTATAGTGATGTTGACAAGCGGTGGCAGAATTTAATCCTCTCTGCCATCCCAAAAGTTAGCAAAGCAGACAGTAGCCCCTTATCAATAAGACAACTTGCTTCAAGTCGCTATGGAAACATCAGCATGGTCACATAATTACTTGAATTTGCTGCTTTCTAATAATATACAGGGATAAACAGGAGCACAAATATCTCTTTGGGTTGGCATACTGAGTGTTAGCATCACAAAGCTTGCTCTGTATCTAATTTATCTGCTCTGGATTCAAAATTAACTTTTTAAAGGACTTCCTAGTCCTTTCTTAGCTTTGCTAAGATATATAGGTGTCTTATTTCACTACAGTTGAATGCTCCTGATGTATTGAAAAAGCATTTTTCTGCTAACCATCTTTGGAAAATGGCTTACTGTAGGAATTTAAATAGTTCTTGACATATTTTAACCTGTTATCTTTTTGTAAAATCTAAAAATGTAGTGAAGTGGACCTAAAACCTGCTGTAGGTATATAAAATATTGATCCAGATGTAAGAGAATGGGAGACATCTTTTCCTCAAGGGTTTTTATTTCTCAATTACTACATGAGAAACACTGACCTTAAAAATGCCAGCATTAATCCTCAAAGGAGTGAAAGTAATTGCAGTCCTCCAGGCATCTCTACTCTGACAGTGCTTCTAGGGATGGCATCTGCCATGACTCTGGGGCTGAACGCAGCACTTTGCTCTCCAGGACAGACCCCCGAAGATCCCCACTGCTGCTTATGGGGCATTGTGGTCCTTCTGGGTGATCCATCCCACTATTCTGGGACGGGAAGGGACATAGAGCATTTTTCTCCTTTACTTAGACCTCTGTCTCAAAATTGCAGATGGTGGGGGGAGAGTGTCATGCCTGTACCTCATTTGGTGCCATCTGCTTTGTAATGCTAACACTCCTGATTCATCTGCTCAGAGATATTCAAGTCACGCTCTGCACAGAGCTTTCCAAAATGCACACGGCTGCTTGTATATAGAGAGTAAAAAGTGACTTTGTGTGGTTTCAAAGTTTGTAGCGCAACATGCTTCATTTCTGCGTTAATGAACAATGAAGTGACTATTTTTCAAGTTCTGCTCATTTGCTGTATTTCACGTGCTTACCTCACCATTGAAGAAGCAGAATATAGTTGCCACAAGTAAGCCCTAAGAGAAAGGAAAAGCAAAGAGTTTAGAGATCAGAATATGTTGTTGGGGTTTTTTTGGTGTTGTTTGGAAATTTGGACTTGAAGAATACAAGATAAAAACATTTGTCCACTTCCTCTGCGTCACAGACACTTCACCTAACTTCTCCCTCATTCACAGTTACATTATTACACTGATATTTGTCTTTTCAACATGTTTTACCTTTTTCTTCTATATCACTAGCATTTATAGTAATGAATGATATATATTCAATTTTGGCAATGAAGTTAATTTTGTACAAGAGGCCTAGAGAAGGAAAATTAAATGGCATGTAAGGTAGATATCTTGCTTACAGCAGAGTACCACACTGGTACTGACTTTGCTGAAGAGATGGCAGAGGAATTGTATCCTGCGTGCTGGCACTTGTTTGTCAGACTGCAGTTATCCAGTTAAAAGTGTTGGTCAAGGAGAATCCAGCTGCCCCAGGCAGGCTTTAAATCAAACTGTATGTCAGGATAAGTGGGCTTGTATGTGGGCAATCACAATGGATGGCAGGGATGTCAAAAGAGGTATAAATTGTCAGAAAAAGGAAAAAAACCTACCACAATAGTTGAGTTCTAAGGTAGGGGGCAGAGAAAAAAGAAGAGAGATTGCAGATAATAGCTTGGTCCTAAATGGCTTAAAATTAATTTAATTATTGCCACAGCTGTTCAGATAATATTTCACTACTGCTACAAGACTAAACAGGGCCAAGCCAGGGACATGAGGTGAGAAGGTGTGAAATAAATAAGAGAGAAAATTCTCGCACACAGAGCCCGCCACTCAGAACTATGTAGTTACCTTGGTCCATGTTCTAAACTGCACTCACTCTTATTAAAATAGCATTACATAGCATCACTAGGAGCCAAATGCCTTCATTTTGAATTACTTAAAGCAGCTATTATAAAGTAAACGTATGGCAGTTTGTGAAATTGAGGGGAAAACTGCAATACAATAACTTGTGTTCCCAAGGGCTGCTTTGAAGAGCTTTACAGCTGTATCTTTTTATAAACCCTCATTTAACTGATTACCAGTTAAATTGTAGCTAACACTTTGTAAAATGTCTTGGACTCTCAAGTGTATATTTTGGACCACAAATGTAGGGAAGCAATAACTGTTTTAACAAAATGCTTATATATTAGAGATACACAGGCTGGTTTAAAGAGGTGCTGACCACCTGAATTTTGGCAATTATTTTACTCCAATAAATTTTCTCTAATGCAGAATTTGTAATTTGACATGACTTCAAATACGAACACAGAAAAGCATGTGCGAGGACGAGGAAGGATAGACATAGTGAGAAAAAGAAAGTTTCTTTTCATGTTTTGGAAGAACAGTGAGTATGCTCAAAACCCTCAAATCCCAGTATACAATGTGCAATGCACAATAGTTTGTCCATAAGCTCTGGTTTCAGAAACAGCACAAAGTCAACCAAAATCTTACACCTCTAAAGCAGGACTTTGTCAGACCACAGATTCCTAAATCAAAAATTTATGCAAATTTGAGTAAAAGCATCACTTCCTGGTGGCCTATATTGATTTTCTCCTGCGCTGTGTGTGCTACATTAATTAGCACAGTCTTGCAAAACATCTGCTGTTGAACTGCACGGTACATGGTCTCGGCAGGGGTCTCATTATTTTGCTAAACTGTGTTTATATTAACAGCAGTCAGCCATGATGGGACATGAGATGAATCTTGATTTCCTCTGGGAGTAGAGATGCTCGATGGACGTCCCATGTGAGGCATGGCAGACACAAAAGACATCAGGATGAGAGAAAGAAGCTGAGAAATTTTTCTAAGTCTGTTCTTCAGCAAGAGTGTTTAGGAGGAATTTGGGAACTGCAGTTCACCTCAAGGCAGAAATTGAACCTGAACTATTGAAGTGAAGCCATTTTCCATTTCAGTTCCTGTATGGTATTTGAATTTCTCTGTTACATCCTGCAATTGTTCTACTTTTTTTCTCTTGGAGAGTGTAGTTCCCTTAGCTAGTGTTTTCTCCAAGCAACTTCTGACAGAAAAGCTAAAAAGGAAGCTGTGGTGATGCCTCGTATCCCTTCAGTTATGCTTCTGGTCTGGAGTGAGCTGAGAGCAGATCTGGCTCCTTGTTATTTTGAGACCATGGATGTTGTACATCTTCTGGCCAAAGAAATTATATTCTCTCTTTGTTCTATATATGTCTCATTGCTCTTCTTCCACCAGCAATGGCCATCTGGGCTCTGCCATCTATATTTGTATTTCTATTTCTATTTCTATTTCTATTTCTATTTCTATTTCTATTTCTATTTCTTCTTCCATTTTATACATAAAGTTTTGTCCATAGTTCAGAGTACTATTGTTATCTTCAGCTGTAAAGCTACAGAGGTATCAGTAGCAGAAACCAGCTTTGTCTCTTCAGAGCCAGGAGGGCTTGGGATGATGATAATTTTACAGTGGATCTATTAAAACATGTGACATATTGGATGTAGGTTAATTATTTCATATAAGGCCCACAGGTTAATTCTCGTATCTCTTTGACATATGTCTTCCATAGTCTCTAACTGCTGCTGGTTTTTGCTCAGGGTGCAATTCTTGTTGAGGATGAGCTCTCTAGGTCAATTATATCTCTCTGCCACTGTGTGGAGTTGTTAAACTGACCTGTGATATATTGTCTGCTGACAGCAGGGTAACGGTGGCTGTGGTATTGAAGGCAGAGATGAAGAATATATTTATTCTGAGATTAAGGTCTTTAATGACTGCTTCTGAAATTCTTTATTTCTGGAACCATGTGAAGAACAGATGAATGTGACTTTTGGCTGAATCATGCCTTAAGGATTGTCCAGAGTCAGCAGCTCTCAGACCTTTGTGTACCTTACTGACACCGTAGTTAGTTTTTCCCTGTGTTAAAGTGCCTATACTGGTCCAAAGACATTCTTTGCTTGACAGGTTTTTTAATTTGTATCTCACTCTTCTAGAGGACATAAGTGTCTTCAAGAGAAGTTCCAGTAATTTGCTCAGGTTCAAAAGAAACAAAAAAACCACCTATGCAGATACTGCAAATTTACATGGGTTTCTGATACCTCCGTAGTTTTTCTTCTAGTTTATGTCTCCATAAACCAAATAAAACGTATATAGATATGCTCATTTCTGTTATTCTTGAGCATGTCCATGGCCTTATCTTCCGATGTGTTGCTGTATAGGCTTTAGTGAGATGATCTATTCATTACTGATGGTATGAGATGATGGCACATCATTGTAATTGTACAGAAGGCCACAATATAAAAAATCAGTTTCTCATTCTCTGTGTGGGCTTTGGTCCATGTCCATTCACTTCTCACTTCTGGATCTGAATGGACAGGCAAAAAAAAAGAAAAAAAAAGAAAAAAAAAAAAAGAAAAAAAAAAGAAAAAAAAGAAGCATGGCCAAGGTTCTTCATAGAAGTACTTCCCATTCCCATCTCTCTCATTTCAGCAAAGACAAAGAGCTTTGAGAAAAACAATACCATGTTCTTCATCAATCACAGCACATTCATACAGCATCTCTGAAGTTAATGACTGTGTTATAAAGTGGTCATTTATGCTAGGTTAAAAAAAATAAGCAAAGCAAAGAATGTGTCTGGGCAGTTTCTGCTGCTGTTGAGGTGGGGAGATTGTCATGAGAGGGCTGAAGACGGCAACCCACCTGCTGCAAAATGAGGGAGACAACCCACCAGCCAAAGCTCACACTCTGCTGCTTCTCCCGCTCTCTGCTGGAGGTTTCATGACTGTCATTTCATACATGAATTTTTCATACAAAAAGGGCACTTTATCCAGCTTTCAAAAAACCCCACCATTGCCCCTAACTTTTATTGGCTCAAAATATTAGACAGTTTTGAAATTACTAATAATGCAAAGAAAAAATGGAAGAGGAAATTAAAAAAACCTGACAAAAACACTTATGTTGTCAAAAGCAGTCCTATGACCTTAACTTTGTACAGAATAAAAAATGTTTCTGCTTTGGCATCACCGAGGATATTTATTTCCCTTTAAATGGAGAAACGGATGGAATGACTACCTTCTAAAATGCATTGAAATATCCTACTATTTTATGAGGCTACTTTTAAATGGGTTAATTTTGTTCTGTGTAAAGCTGCATAGAGAGTTAAATTTACAACTTGGAGGCAGGGTGGACAGATATGTGACCCAAACCCATGCCTGGAAGTTACAAAATAAGCTTTGCAGAATTGAGGCCCCTGTGAGCTGGATCCTCCTGCCCGGCAGGGCGGGTGCTGCAGTCCTGAGGGTGCTGCTTGGAGGCTGCTGCTGCGTAATCTTACTTGAGCAGCAAGAAAACTTTTATTAATCTCAACTTAATGGAAAAAACCTTTTTATTTGCCAACAAAAAACAAGGTCCTTATGCTGAATAGAATGTTAATTTCTAATTATAAGCAGACTTGCACATTTAGGGACGTAGTCAGCAATGTGTTAAGAAGAGTAACTTGCATATTGCTGTTGATTTGGGGGGATTTTGATGGAGGACTTCTCCACTGCACCAAGTGGACCTCCATGGCTAAATCTTCTCTAGCATAGCGACAGTGCCATGTCAGGTAACGTGACAGCCTCTGCAAACCCTGCTACAAGATGCTGGAGAGAGAGAATTTGGAGAGAGAGGACAGTTGGTGGAAGGAGTTTTCAAGCAGGAGTGTGTTAGTCACTGGGCTTGTTTGAGAGCATCTGCCTGGGGTGGGGCTTATATGTGGGACTAATGGATGTATCACAGGGTTATTGCATTTTTCTACTCTTTCTTTTTTCTTTTGAGACCTCTGCTATGGATCTAAGGTCAGAGATCAGAAGCTGGGATAACAAGATGTGCTCGCTGGCAGCAGACCCTCTGACTGGAGCTCAGCACCCCAATCTCTTTGCAGCCTGGGACCCCCCTCAAACCAGACACTCGTTGGTTCCCAGGGTGGGGGAAGTGGCAGGGGCAGCCCCAGGACCAAGGGAGGTGTAGGCAGCCGCGGCAGGGTGTGAGGCATGAGCCATGTCCCTCCTGCCCTCAGCACAGAGACCTGAGTGCAGTTACAGGCAGGAAACAGGGCTGTTGCTGGTACGGTCCTTCGCAGAAGACACCCGGTTTGACCAGATGTATCATTTCATCTTCGCTGGGCAATACGATGGGACTTTTCAGGCTTTTAAGTGACAGATGTGTTTTCATGGCACAGGTGTGCAAGGAGCCAGCACATCCAGTACCTTGATGTTTTACACGCTGAGGAACACTGCATCTTTCATGTGCTTTCAGCATCATCTCACTGGCTTTTTGAAAGTCAGGTCCTCTAGGAAAATCTGCAGCTCACTGGCTCTTCTGTAGCACAAATGTTTGCTTTGTGGTGCCTAGTTAGGAGCTCTGTTTAATAAGCTAACTGCGTGTTCAGCAATGCACCTACAGCATCCCACTCTGTGCCTTAGTTATTCCAGTTAAGGGTTGAAATATCTTTCCTTTGCCTGGTGCAGCCTTCATTTCAGCACAGTCTGGAGACTGAAAAGCTGATATTGGTGATGGTGAGGGGAGATAGTAATCTCTACTTTTACAGGATCCATGGGAGGCTGGCTGGCAAAGTACATGCATTTGTATTCGCAGCACAAAAAAACCAGTCTTCAATTTTTTTATAATGTATACATCTACTATACAGTTCTGTTAAGAAGAATCTGGTCTATGTAATGAAACAGACACGAGCTGATACAGGGGAGAAAGATACAGAGTTTGTGAATTGCTCATATAGCCATATTTGAAAAAACACTTCTACTTAAAATGGTGAGCATTGATGATAGTACTGCAAAAAGGGCAGGAGAGTTCAAAACCAGACTGGCTTCTGTTATTCAAAAATGACTTCAGCAGAGGAAACCTAGCACATAACATCTCGACATGTTGTTTTTCAACTGGGAAAACGGTTCTCTGAAAGAAATATTATTATACAGTTTCTCATGGGAACAAATTCTTTCTCATTCACCACCCTCAATCCTCTGATTTTTACAATAGACTGCAGTGCTTGTTTGCACCATTTCTGTGTACATGGACTATTTAACTAATATATCAAACCATTGTGGTCACTTAAAGCAGCGATGTGCTGTGGAAAAACTGTCTCTCTTTCTGTTCTAGAAAAGGCATAAAAAATTTATCATTTAACCAGTGCAGAAATGGAGAATGTATTATACTTTCCAACAAAAAAACCCCATAATTGCACCCATGATGCCTCTGCTTGCATATGACTGACATGCCACAGGATGCAAAAACTAATAGACTGCTGCTAGTTTCCGGAGACACAGGCTGTGCTGCGGTTTGTGAGAGTGCAATAGCTAGCAGGGAAATATAGCCGTTACACAAGCTAATACAATATCTGCTAATTACATAATCAGTCCTGGAAGAAAATGAGCACCAGAGGAGTGATTATATAGCTGGCTATCTTAAATATGCATACAAGAAATGTTTGGGAAAGGATTAAAAAAAGTTTATTTCAGATCAGAATTAAAATTCTGCCCTAAGTAGAAATGGGAGCATCACTGCTGGCTGCAGTTAGCAGGACAACTGCACAGCCCTCCCGAAAGGCCAAATTTTATGTGCTGGCAGGAAGCACACTGAGATTAAATTGCAGAGGTGTCAAGAGCTGTTCTGTGAGGTCTGCAATGCTGCCCTGGCTGGGGGACAGCCCTGGGTGGACAGTCACCGCTCGGCATGCCCGCTGGCTGCTCTGGGCACAGCGGCAGTGGGGCACAGGCAGCCCCCACCATGTGCCCATTCCGGTGTCCCCGGCACCATCCCCGCTGCTGAAAGAAAACAAAATGTGTTAGCAGGGGGTGATCGGGGTCAACAAACACCCATTCCTGATGACTGGAACAAGGGCAGAAGGAAACCATCAGGGATGATCCTTTGCCTCCTTGGATCCCTCCATCACCTAATCCCATCCCTTGGTACAACAGTTTCACAATACTTTGGTTTTGTTTCCGGTTCCCTTTTAGCCCAAGTTTGGTGAGTTTCCTTTGCATAATGATCATAATTATGATTGTTAATTAACATAATTACCTTCTTTTCATAATTCTCCAACAACCTCACAGGATTTGGAAGATGTTTTAAGAATAAAATGATTATTGTAACACTCTATCTTATCCTAACTTTCTAAACCTGTAAGCAACATGTCACCAGAAAATTTATTTGGAGATATTCCTTTATAGCCCTTGAGACCAAAGAAATGACGATACAGGTAATAACAGAAGAAAGACTCTCATTCCTTTTAAGCAGAACTGTAATAGAAGATGGCACAAACTTCAAAAATAGACCTGTAGCTTTATTTATTCTATGCACACAGGAGCACGCACACCCACAGTTTTGAAGGATAAGGGTGATAAGCAGAAAATACAATCTAAGATGACAGGGTGCATAGATTTTGGTGGCATTATTTATCACTTCATTTAAGGAAAAAGCACCACTGATTTTTTTTGAGCTGTTTTCTTACTGCAACATTACAATAATTACTGCATTTATTAGCTTCTGTATGAAAGGAAACAAGAAGTGGGTCACTGTACTCACCCATGTTGACTGCTACTCACAAATGCATTAGAAATCTGTCTTTGCTAGTCAATGTAGGATGAATACATTACAGTCAGTAGACCAGATAACAAAGCATTTAAAGTAATTTAGGTTTATATTGTTTTGTTTTTAAAAGAAATAAACCAGACTTACTGAATGATGCTGTATTTTCAAAGCATTTATGAAATCAAAATGTCAGTCTTGTATTTTAATTTAAATGGCCTCATAATGGAATTTTAACTCCTAAATGAAGCTTCATTGTCTGTCTTTGCTTCTGTGTGTTGGCATTCCCTCTGTACAACAGTTTGCATACACAGCTAATGTGAATATTAACCTCACAGCACCAGTTTCAGTCAATTCAAGCACTTCAACAGAAATTGTGTTGGAACAGAAAAGCCCTCTGTGATCTCAGTTTTCTCTCCTTCGTTTAGAAATAGTGTCATCTGATAATTTTTGCTACATTTTCCATTGTTTCCCCTATCTTGTGGTTGCTCTTTATGCAGCCGTGCTACTCGTGCAAAGGCAGATAATCCAATAACGTGAAAGTGGTTGGAAAATAACTGCAAAACCAGCGTCACGCTCAGTTTCAGGGCAAAACAACTGGCAACAGCATCTTCAGCTAAATTAACTTGACAGCAAGTACCCCACCTAAGTTGAAGTTGCTACTATATAACATACCTGGTAATGCATTAATATGTGCATGATGTAATCATATATTTCTCCAGCAAGTCGGTTTTCTGGTCTCCAGGGGATAATAACAAACTGAATTCCTAGTAAGGGCACCAGGATTAAAGTGGCTCTGACAGCTTTCATATACATGTTGGACTCAGCACGGTGGGTATCTCTTAGCTTTGTCACCAAAACTCGGACAATGTTAAGCAGAAAGAAAAAATTGACCTGCAAAAGCAAAGCCATTATAGTTGAAAGCATTCAAATTAGACATTCAAAATAAAAATATAGAACATATAAATGGTAGTAAAATGTAACTTTCTAGCTTTATTGTAGCTCATAATGGGCAGCTCCTTGGAAGTCAGGCCTTGAAAAATACCTTGAATGTCTTCAAAAAAGAGATGTTAAGCTGCTCTACATGCTTCCCTTAGGAAGCCTGCATGGATGTTTCAGGCAGGCAGGGATCAGTTTTAGGAAGCACTGGCTGTTTCGACACTTCTGTGGGCAAATTTAGGATTTCCAGGGAACAATCAATCTCGGTTTTATGTCTAAAGTTTAAATGGATGGATGAATTGTCCCGAGAGTAACCGTGTCTCTCTTCTGAGTCTGAAGGTCACCTAGGTATCTTGCTTCAGTCCGCACTGAAGGTGTCCGCAGCCAGGTGACACAAACCCCAGCGTGTCCCTGGGCGTATGGGACTAATGTGGGCACACGATTTCTCTGAGAAATGTGCTCCGGCTCACAAGGGCCAATACTTCAGGCTTGTGTATAAGCAGGGAGGCAAGGCTGCTCTTGAGAAAAACCTAGGCTGCCCCTTGCCTAGGGGGATTCCAGCTGTGTGTGCTCAGCACGTGGAAACCTGCTCTTGACCCTGGCTTCACCGAGAGCTCCTGGTGGGATGTGCTGACAGCTGGTGAAGGGACAGGGAGGGCAGACCCAGGCTGATAATGAGCCCAGTGCGTACCCTGTGGTCTTCCTAGGTATCACAGCTTCTCTCTCTCCACTGTACACAGATCACTCTTTTCCACTCTGTTACAGTAATATCAGGCACCTATGCCTCGGAACCTCAATAGACTTTTTTCAGATGATATTTTAAAATAAGTATGCAAGTTGCATAACTTACATAGATACTTTAATAGCCCAAATTCCATAGATACATGAGAAATTTCAGTTGAACCTTTCAGAACAATAAAATATGAATCAGTAAGCTTTAGCAAAGCATTTCATCACTTCTTAACTACTGAGAGACCTTTCAACTGTTTTACATTTGTGCTCTACTGGAAAAAGGAATAATAAATGACTTCTGAGGTCCCATTCAGCATTAAATCTAAACTTTATTCTCCATCCTCTTCTGACTTCATTCATTCTGCTTAAACTTCACTTTTAGAATTTCTGGAAGTAACTGTGAAAAGTGCAAAAAAGACTTTATAAAGGTAAAAATCCTCAGCTCTTCTGAGTCAGCCTGTCACTATGAAATTTTTGTAGCAGAGCATGCAGGACATTCTGTAGATACTGACATCTTCACAAGATAAATAAGACTGGAAATGGCATAAGCACAAGCCAGAAATTATAATGCCTTATTTTGAAAACAGTTAAAGATTGCTCCTTTTCTATTAAAAAACCAGCCCCTCCTTTTTTCTTTGTGGTTAAGATGTACAGACTTGGAGCATGGTGATAAATATAAAGGTTAAATGGTCTCTTCTAGAAGTTAGTTGGCATTACAACAGCAGAAGCAATCATAGAATCATAGAATCAATAGAATCATAGAACGGTTTGGGTTGGAAGGGACCTCAAAGATCATCTAGTTCCAACCCCCAGCCATGGGCAGGGACACCCTCCACTCGACCAGGTTGCTCAAAGCCCCATCCAACCTGGCCTTGAACACTTCCAGGGATGGGGCCTCCAAAACTTCTCTGGGCAACCTCTTCCAATGCTTCACCAACCTCACAGAAAAGATTTTTTTTCCTTATATCTAATCTAAATCTACCCTCCTTCAGCTTAAAGCCATTGTCCCTGGAAGTGTTTAAGACCAGGTTGGATGAGGCTTTGGGCAATGTGGTCTAGTGGAGGGTGTCCCTGCCCATGGCAGAGGGGTTGGAACTAGATGATCTTTAACGTCCCTTCCAACCCAAACCATTCTATGATTCTACAATTCTATTCCTTGTCCTACCACTACATGCCCTTGTAAACAGTCCCTCTCCAGCTTTCTGGAGGCCCCCTTTAGGTACTGGAAGGCTGCTCTAAGATCTCCCTGGAGCCTTCTCCTCTCCAGGGGAAAACACCCCCAACTCTCTCAGCCTGTCCTCATAGGAGAGGTGATCCAGCCCTCTGATCATCTTTGTGGCCCTCCTATGGACTTGCTCCAACAGCAACTCCAACTGGCTGCTTCAGCTGGTTCAATCAATCAAGACTGAACGAATAAACCCACAATAGATGTGATTCCATGGGAACAGCAGACTATATGGCAGGGAGGAACACATTGCTAATGTGTAAGACTGCTTCTCAAGAAAGGGTAGAAACACTTTCAATTTTTTCAGGTATTAGATGGAGGGTTTTTTCTTTATTCAAAGGTGTGCCCAGTATTCACCTCCTTCATGTTTGATCTCTGAGGTAATTACTGCAGGTATGTCTATACAGATGTTTGCAAGCAAGAGGCAGTTCAAAAGCTGAAAGGGCATCTTGGGTGACACACTGAGGTGAGCTTGGGGTTTGGGTTGAATAAAATCCTTTCTGCACCTTTCAGGAAGGTCAGAATTACTGTGCCAAATGGCACCACTGGCATATAGCATGCTATATGTTGTACACATTCCTGAGCTGCACTTTGAATTTTGTCCTCCTGCTCAGACAGCCCAGTCCAGTCCCTACTCTGGACTAGTTTAGCTCCCTACCTTTGGGCCATACCAGTTCAGTGACCAGTAAAGCTTGTGCTGAACGACCAGCCTGCACTCAGCTCACCCCAGCTAAGGCATAGCTAAATACCTCATCGATGTCACATAAATGCAGTACATTTGTGACAAATAAGTTACTCTGGGGGATAGTGACCACCTTGATTTTCAAAAGCAGTTGGTGTTCTGTTTGCCTCAAAATCTGATTCTTTTTCAGGACTTGTTTCTGAAAAGTATTGAGAACCTGTCCTCTTAACACTGAGCAGAGAAAACCTCTAGCTACTTCTGAGTTTTGACCAGAACACTTAAAATACAGAAAGTTCTATTCTATACAGGTTAGCAGCATTTCTACAATAATTATTAAATTTGACAGCAAATAATATTCTTACCAATAAAGCTGCCATTACAGGTCCATGAACAATATAAAGCAAGTGCGTGTCAACACTCATCCAGCAGCTGGAGAAGAAATACACTATTAAAATTTATTATTAACTGAAATAAAATGTATTACACAGTTAAATAATGCTAAGTTCCTTCAAAAGCAGACATGCTACTCACTTGTCATTGAAGTATTTGGCTCTTGCAACAGCATGAATAGATGCTGGCACTAAAGGGAAGCCTGAAATGATAAAATTGATATATCAGTCTTGGTATTTTTTTAGCTTGAATTTCATAATGTCTCTTCTTCATCAAACACCTATCTGTGAAATCACAGCTTTCAGGAAAGAACTGTAATCCCATTGCACTCAGGGCCCTAGCATTACCTCCATGGTTGGATGCAAAAGGGAATAACGATCAAGGCAGGCCAACAGGAGAAGCAAAGCCCATGGGCTATGCTCTCCTGGGGTGTCACAAAGCTGCTGCCAGGCTCCCCTGCCTGCTGCGGCTTGTGCAGGGAAGGGTGTGAGCAGGCAGTGTGGGAAGGAGGCAGGGATCAGTCAGTTCTCAGTGGAGTATTCCCTCGGGAAACCAGGGACACTTGTTAAGACCATGTAAATCACTGTTGAGCAAGAGAGAGGCACATTAATTTGCATGCCAGATTATGGAGCAATAAACAACAGAGTGAGGAGTTGCTCTTTTGGACCCTATGGCAAGAGAAAATTTAGGAGCCAGGAGGTTTTTTTGGGGGATGGGGATTTGGGATATCATTTGCAGGTTCCCAGCCTCTGTGCAGCCAAACCCACACAATGCAGCTTTATCACAGCAGGGAGTGGAGCTATGGATACCATAAATCCACATCTGCTTTATCTGTGAAGCCTCAAGGGAGGCCACTGCTCTGACAGGGAGCTGACGGGAGCCGGTCCACTCTTGTCCATCTTGCTTCAGCTGTTGTGCCCTTCTCTAATAGGCTAGAAACCTGGAACTGGGCAGTCTGCACTATAATATTGACCCCAGTTTGTCCAACCCTGCACAGACAGACAGCTGATCTACTGCCTTCTCTGTCCTGTGCAGAGAGCTCTGTGGACACCTTTGATGTTACTGCTGCCTGTTCCCTATAAACCATGAATGTTTCTTCTGAGCTTTGGATATTCTATAATTATAAATAAAAACATGTGAAAATGTCCTGCTGCTACCATGATTAGTCACAGAGGGAAGAAAGCGGCTCCTTGTTTCTTCGGGTGTTGGTGATTTCATCAACACTTTAGAAGAGACAGAGAATCCTTAGCCAAATTCTGGGGAAGTCTTACCTCAGCGCACAAGCCAGCCAATGCTGGAGTGAGAATAAGGTCAAAAAAGTATGTAAATCGGACAGTCTGATGTCTCTAGGTATCTTTAAGCAATAGCTACTTACTCTACTGCCAAAAAAAGTTCTTACTGCAGTTTACCTTGGGAGGACAATGCAGCTGTGGGAGAACAAATTGTATTGTCTTCTCCTTTATATATTAGAAAATGATTACTTGGGCTCTGGCTGCAGAATGCCTTTTTTGGGTGGTGATGCACGGTACAACAACAAAAAAACTCAGAACAGAAAGAAAGGAGCTTTCGACCTCAGGGTGAGCCTATGGGACTGACAGCTTGAGAAAAACCTTTTGAGTTGGAAATGCAGCATGTCTGGGCCAGTTTTGTTGACAGACAGATTGAAGTGCAATTTTTAAGGGGCCTTTCTGTAATAGCAAAAAGTCTTCATTTGAAAGCTCTGGCCTGGAGTATTGCGAGTAGAGCGCTCCACATGATGCCAAGGGACCTTTTTCTTCTGCTAAATTCATTAGCCTAGAATATTTGGCTCAACAAACTCACAAGCAAATCTTAAGAATGCGACGGAAAGTTTTCATTAGTCAGCTACAGGGTAAGAAGCTCATGACCGTCTATGGCTCAAATTTCCAGCTGCTCCATAGGGCTAGATGTTGCTCTTCCCTTGTAAAGGGCCACAAGGCAGAGAGGCGGTAAGAAGCGGAGCACCAAGAAGCCTGTTGGGTCTTGGTGGCACAACATGTATCACTCCAGGGGTCCCACCTACAAATGGTAAGCAGTGAGCAACGTAGAAAAGATTTCACCCGGTCATCCCAGGAAAAGGTATGACACATCCCTTTAGGTCGTGTCAGGTACTTTATGGCACAAATTGGCAATTATGCTTAATTGTATTTCCAGTTGAATTTGGAAGGCACTCTGTTTCAGCACTGGACAAACAAATGATTCCCTTTTCACTTTCATGTGGATGAAGCTGCCTGAAGCATCCAGACGGAGTGGACTGTAGCTGGATGCACACATTTGGTACTGTTTTCTTGGCTTGCATAAGGGTGATTTCCTGACCCAGTGAAACAATAACAAATGAAAAATGACATTCCCAGCAGCAGTCCCCAGAGAAGGGGCCACCTGAATGCATCAGCCTTGAAATACATCTGTCCGTGTCAGATTCCATTCAATCATCTCAAACCTTTTGCAGAAGTGTTTTATATTTGTTCAGATTATAATTTTTTAAAAGAAAGCTATTTTACAAATATCATTAGTGATTTTTCCAAATAAAATACTGTAGATCTTCTTGCATAGGGATTAGTTAGAACAATGAATAATGAGTATATTAGTCCCGTGTTGTACATTTACCTTGATCTTTTGAATTGTAATTCAGAGCACAACCTGCTCTGGTTGCTCTGCATTGCCCTTTGGAGAAATGTATCTCTCTCCATTGATTAACGTAGCTGGATGTTTAAAGTTAGACTGTGTGACTACTGCTTCTGGAATCAGTGGAATTACACTGATTTATGCAAACTTAAGGGGTAGTTGGAGGTGCTAATGATTACTTTTTTTTGTAGAAGTATTAATCTAGTTTCATTAATAAGGCTGCAGACTTTGTAGTCAAGAGTTGTGTCCTCTCATATTAACCTCTTCCTTCTCAAGATAGATATCATCATACTATTACCACAACCACCACACTATTTATTTTTTGGACAGTGCTGCACATACCGATGAGTGTCTTGTCAGATAACTTCACTGAATTACCCACAGTGATGCTACTGCTGTTCTCAGCAAGATTACAGCCAGCTCATAGGCTTTCAATGCATAGGCTAGCTGTCCCAGTTGCATTAAATTGTACTGCCTCAATTGAATGTCACCTGAAGAAAAAAAAATGTTTATGATAATTTTGCTCCTGCTGGAATGACACTATTTTGGGAAGGTTTATGCTGCAAGACATGCAAATGGCAAAAGCTTTATCTGGAAGGAAATGTTTAAAATGACTCTTCATGTGGGGCTGCTATTTCAAAAGCAGAGTCCTATCAGATTTTGTATATTCAAATATTCTGAACTATAGAAACTTTGTGATAGCACAGTTTCTTGCTCAAAAAGGGCTCAGCTATTTGGATTCGCAGACAGTCCAGAAGCCTTGACTCAATTTAGGGTTCCTCAGGAAGGTTGTCTTCACTAAAGAGCTGATGATGTTCCACATCATACTTTTAATTCCAAGAGCAGGACAGGTCTCTCTCTTCTCAGAAAAGACGCCATTCTCATAAGAAAAAAGAGTGCATGATGGCATTCTCATTTAAAAAAAAAAAAAAAGTTCTTACATGTCTGGAAACTGTTATCTGGCAGTACAATCCATATAAACTAGAAACTCATGCTAATTTTCTAGGTATCTAATGTAGGTATCCAGAGAGGTCTAAGTCTTATACCATAAGAGGAAAGTAAGTTACCAGGTTCTTAAATGAAAATCCAACAACTTTCCACTTTGGTGCTACTGCCTATTTAGGACCTGATATTGGATGCCTAATTAGGGGCTGAAGTCAGTGTTTTGAAGTTCTTCAGAACACTTAGAACTGGGTCATTTTTGTCTATTCTAATTAATTCCTATTTTTTCTCTGTATAAGCAGTAGGGCTATTTTTTATTTTCCTGCTGTAAATGAAATAATGTTGAACAAGTATAACATCTCCAAAGAGGATGGAAAATATAGAGTAAATTCTATCTGTTTCAGACTGGGATTGCAAGAGATGAATGCAAGTGAACATCCTTAAGTGCAGTGGGATTATGGGCAAAGGTCCATCATTTGCTACTTAGCTACACCAGTGATTTTGAGATATGGGGATCGGCTTACCAGAAACTGGAATGAGGTCAGAAATTCACGGTTCCCAAAGTGGGAAAAAGCTATTGATAATAATTTTCTGTCAACACTGATATGTTGATTTAGAATAGTGATTTAAATGTGAAAGAGACTGTGCTCCACTGGAATATATTGATTGTATTTTTATGGCCTTTTATTGGACCAGACAGTCCAAAGGATAAATATCTGCTGTTGCTATTAATTAAAAGGAAAGGGATCCCTTAGCGAATATAGAAGAGAGCTGCATATTTGGAGATCAAGGACTAGACCTAGTCCTGCTTCCTTGGGCAATACACGCGCGACTACATACAGTTTGTATCCATGGTGTAGGGGTTTGTAACCTCTCATAGAATATCATTGAGATTTGCTTATTGACACCTGTATGTTTCTCTGAAATGCTTTAGAGATCACTGTTGTTGGACAAAACCAGCCCTGACAGCAGAACCATTATCTACTCCTGTGTAGGTAAAAATGAATCTTCTCCTTTAAAACAACATCTGCCAAAGTATATCTGATACTGGATTCACTTCCAGAGAAATTCTGGTTCCTCTTTCTGCATGCTATGTTTTTTCACTTTGGGAGACATAGATACTGAGTTTTCCTCTTCTTCATTCCAGAAAAAATATACTTTTATAGGTACTGTCACAGATTAATATTTTTGCATATAAAGTGACAAAAATAGACAATTTTTGTTCAGAAGAGAGATGTGTTTGGATAAAAATCTATTTCTCTCCCAAAGCTTTGCTTAACAAAACTTAAACATTTCTTTCAGCAGTTCCCAAGATAACTGACTCCTGCTGATTTTTGTATGTCTCTAGGCCCATCCAAATAAATGCATTCAAATTTAAGACCCAAGAACTCAATCTTAGGGTATGACCTAGTAGTATAAGTACAATTCAGGTGTATAAGTGCTAGAAAAATTCAAACAGCTGGAATAAATGACCATCTTGCTACATATTATAACATACATACCCCAGCCCAAGAGGTAATACCAGTGCAAACGCTGCTCTTCAGCAAACACTGCCACCACAATCAACGTGTGAAGATAAATGCCTTCGCAGAGCATCCAGAAGTAGTTGCAGCCCAGCATGTACTGGTGAAAGAATTGCAGCACTTTGCAGCTTACCTGTTAGACAAATGAGATAATGTCACACACTTGACCAGCATTTTGCATTTAAGCAGGCCAAGACAAATGTTACTGCTAGGCTATATGAAAGCAAAGTGGAACAAAAATCCCCAGCTCTTGCTGTCACCTATCAGTGACAGGGATTTAAAACTTTTATAAATGAGATGAATGGGACAAACAACTCTCAGAAATATAGAAAAAATGTATGATAACAACACTCCAAAAAGGACCATGTTAAAAAAAAAAAAAATCCCCTTCAGAAGTTGGTAATCCAATGATTTTTAGAACTGAAACACGCAACTAGCTTTATATGTACAAGAAAAGCTGTGAAGAAGACAGTAACTTAGAGCTCCAGTTTGGGTTTCTTTTACTTTTGATCAAACTTTTCTAAGGTCTGTTCAACTCTCCCATCTGAGACAGAGTCACTCTTTAAACTGCACCCAGCTCTGAGCTCGCTTCTTTGGGAAGGACAAGTGCTGCTGGCAGTGGAGATTTTTTTTGGTAGGGTACCAGGGATGCTGGCTTCACGTCTTTGTGAGAAAACAGCGTTACCTAATTTTGTCCAGATAAAAAAGCAGCACATGGAGCTAAATGGAGCTTAAAGTTGGGAAGTGCTTCCTGCCTGCAGTTCAGATGAGGCTGCAGACATAGACCTTGGCGTGAGACTGTGGCTTCGAGATGCTGGGAAGCAGTGGGCAGATGGTGGAGGGAAGCGTGTCCTGTCCAATACCAGAGTCAGCTGGTGTGGGACAATGCTGTTCCTCTTCTGAGAAGATCTCATGTCCATCTGCCTCCTCAGAGAGGGCAAAGAGGTCCTCCACATGGGTGCCTCCATGCCACCAGCACCCAGGAGGGCCAGGAGGAGTGGGAGGGCATTGCTTTGCCAGCAGGACCCCTTGCTCCTCAGGGAGCACCACGTGCTACTCAGAAATCCGAGGTCACAGCAGTGATGGTAAAGTGACAGTCATCATCTGTGGCCACTGGAAAATAATCTTTTCCCTTAGCTTCTGCAGAAGTTTTCCAAGATGACTACCTGGGCTGTAAGAGATGTCTTCAGGATTTACTTGTATCTTTAAAGAGAAATTTTGGCAGTTCAGCAAAAAAAAGGACCGCACGTTCTGCAGCTGTCTGGGGGACTCAGACTGCCCCTTTGGACCAGAAAAGCTTGTTAGCCATCCAGTGCACCACCTTCTGTTGCTGAAAAACATTCCCAAAGCAATTGCCCAGACATGCACATTTGGTTCTGTTTCAATATTTACAGTGCAGATTGGTGCTCATTAAAAGATAGGACTATTGATAGGTTAAGATATAGGATTCCGATAGGATTAACTTGAAGGACTGATTTTTATTTTTTCTGCATCACACAGGGCAGAGCAGTTACATCTTTTTTCCACACCACATCTGAACAATTCTTACAAAGTATGCTGAAAAAGGGTTGTATAGTGGTTTGAAAAGGTTAAAAAAAAAAAAAGAAAAAGGAAGAAGAATAATTTGCTCCTTTTTCTGTTGGCAAATGTGTTCATTAAGGTTCTTAAATCATCCTTGGACAGTTTTTCACAGGTCTGGGTCAATATGTTTCTTGCCTTGTTCCCTCGCCTGTGCTACATGCAGCCTCCCAGCTGGCGGCTGGCTGGTCTCCATTGTCCCCTGATCGACCACCCATCCCCACAAGGGCTGCCTTCATTGACAGGTGCTTCCCAAAGGCTGCACACACATTCAGGTGGCACCCTCCCTGACATCAGCCAGCTACCCTGGCCTCTAAAAAGCCAGCAAACTTTCTGAGCCATCACAGCAGTTTTCCAGACAGGTTTGATACAATCAGTCAGGTCCCAGGCTTGGGCTGGGCCAGCCCCATGGTCCCCTGTGGGGATCTCCCTGGAGCAGTTGCAGGTCAGGGGGTCTACCCATCGTTTCCCCGATGGCTCCGGTGGGAGCAACTTGGTGCCTGCATGTTGCACGCATGCTTGTCCTGCTCCCACCAGTGCCAAAGTTGCCCCAGATTTCCATCCAGCTGTTGGGGCTCCGGGAACCATCTCATGCTGCAGCCCAGCAGCTGGTGGGGAGCAGAGCACGGCTGGTGAGTTCTGCAACAAAATCCACAGTAGGTTCTCAAACCTGTCATTTTAACTTCATGCCTTCTCCATTTTGTATTACTGAACTGAAAGGGAGATGACTATGGAGTATCCTTGCTTCTCTTTGCCAGCTCTTTGCCCCTGAGCAGAGACTGACTGAACATACGTTCCACTAGAACTAAGTCAGTCTTTGCTGGAACTTTTATCTGTTGATCAAACAAATGCACATATAGAAAGCACAGTGCCTGAGAACTGCATAGCTAAACTTCATTTACTTAATTTCCTCAACATTTCTTTCCCTCCTGTACCCTCCATGTGAATTATCGCTTGTGGCTTTAAAAATTAAATCATATACCTGTCTTTTAAAGTAATGGGTCATGACGCTTTTCAGGAATTTAATCACTTCCTATGAAGTAAGTCAAAGAAGTAAGAATACCATTGGTAAAGCATGAAGGATGAGTGTGACTAATACTTAGATCCATATCATATTAATTTGAGAATGAATCTGAAAAAAATAGCATAAAGAATTTAAGCACTACAATGCATTGAGATGAATTATGTTAAATTCATATTAATCAAAATACAGCAAAAATCAGTCTTTGGTTTGGATGAGATAACAAATGCAGCATCTTTCATCTGTGGCTAAGTGATGGAGTATTTTCCTACAATAAAAAGAGAGTGTTTTTCTTAGGTCAGAGCAGGTAAAAGAGAAGAACCTGTTACTGATAAGAACCGGATTCGTGCATGGTACAAATAAAACATGACAAATGTAACCAACATCTCAATGTATGTTAGTCTCAGCTGGGAAAATTACAGAACTAGCTAGTTTTATGAAGTGTTATTCCACAGAACCAAGTGAAAAAACCCTGCAAGATGATACAGAAGCAAATCTTCCACTGCTTCCATGCTTCATAACTGATTGTTAACTTTGAGATAAAAAAAACATGTCGAGGGGTTTTGTCTTCTCCTGAAGTCAAATATGTTTTGTTGCAAGTTCTTTGAGGCAGAGGCTCTGTCCTTGTTGTATCTTGTACAATATGCAGCACAGTCAAATCCGGGACTCAAAGGCTTATCACAGCACCTTCACACTATGAAGGACAGTAAAATGTCACGAGCTCTCAGTCTGTGGGTGTGCAGATGACAAGCTAGTGGGTTTTAACGCTTGAGCAGGGCAGGCTGAGAGGAAATTGCTGGTCCTTTCTAGTGCTACCCCATAACTGTGGCTCAGGCTAGTGTGCCTGTCTCCTAAACAAAAGAATAAACAAATGCTCCTCTTTTCAAGAGCCTGCACTGCCCTGCACGGGTTGGTGGCTATGCAGCAAGCGAAAGTGTGATACAATTACCAGGAAAGCCCCAAAACCAGGTAACTACCTAAGCAAGCAGCTCCTCTGTGGCTCTGGGAGGATGGCCAAGAATGAACCCTTTTTTGGCAGATGCAGCCCGGCAAGGAATTCAATCTGTGAGCAAGGTGGCTGCCTCCTGCTACTTGTTCTCACTGCACTGGTGAACACAAAAGCTGAGGGAAGTTCTTTACAGATCTGTGGGAGAGCACTGAGAAAAAGCCTCCTTTATTGTTAATTTTTCTTCCTCGTGAAAGCAAACTGCAAGGGGCTTAAATTCTGGCTAACTGCTCAGGAGCAAAAGGGGTCAATAGGAATGCAGTCAGTCATACTGTCCTCTTGCAAATCTTGCTAAGAGTCGTGTAACTCTTGTGAACACCTCAGTTGCGACATGTAACGAAGACACTTCAAAAAGATTCTGGAACCATTTCACAGAGAAGACATAGAATATTTTATTCTCCTTTTACAAGAAGGAGCTAGAACTGGTGTCTATGATGTTTTGCAGGATATATTGACATATTCTAAATACTTTTAATGTTCCAGTCCTGTCAAAGTTCCATCTGCCTACGCAGTACCCTGCAATTGTGCAGTAATGTAATTGGCATGCCACCCTCCTCGGCTAATCCAGCAGCCCCTCATCACATGTACTTGTCATTTTTCTGTTTAGACTCTCCTTGGTTATCAGTTAATAGCTTACAGACAGAAAACAGCAGCATTAATTACCACCACTACCCATTAGAGCAAATAAAACCAAAACAAGCAGACTACGTAAACCCCAGAATACTATCTTCAACAATAATAACAAAATGTAATGTGAAATAAACTGCTTTTGTTTTTGAGCGGGATAAATTGTTTTTGAGCAGGTCTTCCTAGTAATTCAGTCAGAATAAAAGGACTGACTCAGTTGCAGCATAGGAAAGCTGTACAGATTCCTGGGTGTCCTGTTCCCGTGACAATCTCCTGGGTGAAGGGATTCAGGTTGGCAAGTCAGGAGGTCTGTGTTTTACACCAGTCCTTGCCAACTCTGGAGAGCCTGCCCTACGGAAAGTAAGTGTTGGATAGCCAATCAATGTGCGTAACAAAACCTCTCTTTTCAAATGCTCACTACCCATTGAAATGCCCCTGACTGACATTTCAAAGAAATAAATTGCTAAGTGGCCAACCAAGGTTATCAATTTCAAACCAAGCCAGCTACCTGGGCCATCACTACAGCTCTGCATTTCTTTGTTTAAAGGGAAATAAACTTCTTTGACGTCACCGAGGATCGGTTAGTGTGGTTCCTCTTCACCTCTGCGAACCTCCCCAGTGCTTGGCAGTGAAGAGCTCTCCTTGTGGAGAGTTTGTACATGATATATTCAAATTCAGTTTGAAGGCAATAAGATATATTCTCAGATATTCTTAACTTAGCATCTTAAAGGAGTAGTTTGAAGTTTGCTTCCTGGATCTACCTTACACATTTATTTGTTTGGTTGTATTTTTTCTGGTTATTTGAACACTATTCTATGAAAATATTCTTAAATTCCAAGTATCCATAAGTTACATAAATAAGCAATAAAAGAATTTTCCAAAGCAAGACAGTGCTAAGTAT